TGCTTCGCATGTGCGACTCCACCGCCTTAATTCCCATCGTTCCGAGCTTGAATCACTTCTTGCACAAAATCCACTGAGCCTCATGTATGTTCCCTGGTTTTAGACATGGAGAAAACTCTTGGCTGGAGTCAGTTTTAGTTACATTTACACTTGCTCATATTTTCCAGGCAAAAATTAAATGGTGCATCTCCCAAATGTCCCGGCCGCAACAACGCTTTTATTGGTTCCGCTATCGGGACGGAACCAATAATGGCGAGCCATTATTTTTTTTTAAATAAAAAATCTATATTTAGATTGCAAAAATAAATCGTAATAAAAATAATCCTATTTATGATGTTTTAAAAATTAAGACCTACGAAAGACTGATTTAAGACATTTTAATACCAATTAAGGCCTTAATTTTATTTTGAAGAATTCAATGACTTTTAAGACTTTTCAAGGACCCGCGGGAACCCTGTTTTAAAACCAGATGTATTATATTATAGTTTAGTTTAGTGGGATACTTCTGTGGGATACCTGATTTATACAAATATATATGAGCAGAAACCCAAAATGATACAAATAACTTATCTGATTTAATTATTTAAAACTTATATATTTTATTGACAATTCTAGTTTTAAAAATGTATGTCAATTATTTCATTTTGTTCTATAGGATGTTATTTTATGTAGAAAATAACAGTTTTCAAGTTAACGAAAGGAAATATAGATTTAAAAACATATTTCTGGTTCTTTAAATTCAAATGTTCTTTAAAAAAAATCTGCTTAAGCTTCAAAAAAAGTAATTTTCTGATATACTATATGATCTCAAAATCATTAGCTTTTTTTTTTGTTTCTATCCGCTATCAGGAGCCATTGTAGAGTCCAAAGAGCCAATTTCAGCTCTGGAGCTGCAGGTTGCAGAGTTGTGTGCTTAGATGGTTTCCTTGACGGTGGAGTTCAGAAAAGTTGACCAACGCTGTGCCTCAAACCCTCAGTGACTGAGGGAACTTCACAGTGACCATCTGAATGCCCACATTCAACTGTTAGAGGTCCATACAAAACGCCACATGAATATTACTCTATATTTACATTAGCCAGCTGATCAATGTTATTTCATGGTTACCAATGGCAACTGAAAGGGGCGAGGGTGTTAAATCCTGTGTCTACTGTTAGCCCTGTTAGCATTTTAACTCTTACAAGAAAATGGATGGACAGAAAATTTGAGGAGGGAGAAAACATCCAACATGGCCTCTCTAAGCAGGTTAAGGGATAAAACATATTGCTGTCAGTTATCAGCAAGTTAGGATGTCAAATACTGGCATCAGTCGTCCCTAACTTATAGTATTTCACTTCGCTTTTAATTAATTTGTATAAAAGATGTTTTCATTCGTGACGCAGTGGGTAGCACTGCTGACTTGCAGCAGCAAGACTCTGGGTTCGATTCCTGGACTCTCGGCGTGGAGTTTGTATGTTCTCCCTGGGCATGCGTGGGTTTTCTTAGGGTACTCCGGCTTCCTCCCACAGTTCAAAAGCATCACTGTTAGGTCAATTAGCTTCTCTAAATTCTCCTTATGTATGTGTGGTTGTTTGTCCTGTTTGTCTCTATGTTGCCCTGTAATGGACTGGCAACTTGTCCAGCGTGGACCCCGCCTTTTCCCCCATAGACAGCTGGAGATAGGCACCAGCATCCCTTGCGACCCCAGCAGGGATAAGCGTGACAGAAAATGGATGGATGCTTTCATTAGCTGTGTATCTATTATAAACATGTGCAAAAGTCTTGATATTCTGCTAATTTCAAAAATACAAGTTTTTTTTGATATTCTGGTATTTCCGTTAAATAAGAAATACTTTACTTAATACTATTTACATAAAAATTGCCTGGGAATACATTTTTTCATGTGAGTGCCAATGTGGCGGCAGATGTAGATACATGAAATATATCTATATTTATATTTCAGCCATAGCTCTAGTGCTCATCATCGCAAACTAAATGTAAAAGCGACTCAGTCACCTCATGAATCCAAACATGTCGCTCCATCATCCTCCATCTTCTGGTCTCTTTCCTCGTCTTTTTTACGAGCCTAAACACTCCAGTTGCAGATCAAATGGCTTGTGTGATGTGAAAAAAGTGCTTTTTTCACATCAATTTTTGCAAAAACTTTGATATGACTAAAATACAGCCTCATCGGAGTGTAAAATCTTTTATGGCAAAACAAACGTTTTTGGTTTTTTTATTGCAGTTTCCATTTAACAAATTTATTTTATTAACTACCATTTGAACAATTTGATGGTTAAAGAACGTAGTCACTTTCTATACTGAGATAAAAATAAAGAACTATTTCACTGTATTCTAATTTCCAGAGACATACCTGAAGATGATATAATGTTTTTAAAACTTTCAACAAGCAAAAAACTGAAAAGTGTGGCATGTATTTGTATATACTACTACTACAAAATTCTGCTCTGACAAGAGCTAAAATTAGCAACCTTTATGGGTTACTCACTAGTTGGTGAGGGTCCATCACAAAAAAAAATCCTCTACAAAGGTTCTCTAAATATTTCAAACTAAAAAATCAACACGATCCTGGCGTCATCCATTTAATATTTCTGCTAGATGGTCGGTTATACAATAGTTATTTAGCATCTGGGATTTTTGTTCCGTATGTGATTAAATGAGAAAAAAGAAAAATCTTCTTATTGTAAAACAAAAAAATCAAATAGTTTTTACCTGAACTTGGGTTTGTCTTTGGTCACGACACCGACCTCCAGCTCAGTGGCTTTAAAGTCCAACGACAGCACAGTGGACAGACAGGATATAGCCAACTGAAATAACAAGCAACAACGTCAGAACCACAGGATCGATCAGAGGAAAACCAAAATCTGCACATCAGAAATCACTCTAAAATCAATAATGCATCCTGGGTACGGAAGAGGATTAGGGCCCCTGGAAAAAAAAAAAAAAA